GAGCCCAATTCTGCAGATGTGGTCTGAATAGGAGAGGATAGAGAAAAACTACCACATACCCATTCTGGACATTATGTCTCCTCTCTTCATAAGGTCTATGATTGAACTAGCTTTAGGGGCTCTCTTTCACTCATGACATACTAAGCTTGCAGCCCACTAAAACCCCAAGATGACTTTCAGGCAAATTGTGTGTAGCCAAGCTTTTCTCACATTCTATTTAAAGCATCAATTTTTGGAACCCAAATATAAGACTTTACATTTATCCCTCTTAAATGTCCTCTTATAAAATTCAGTCAACCTTTAAACCAGCTGAGAAAATAATGACTGACATTTATATAGAGCTTTAAGACTTGCAAAATGCTTTACATAACATCATCTCATTGATTCATACAACAATCTTGAAAAGAACATGCTGACTATCTCTTCTGCATGTGTCATCTGCACATTTGATAAGCATAACTTCTCTGACTTTACTAAAGGCTTTGGTAAAAATCTTAACCAGTATGTGGCCAGGCTCGTAATTCTGCATGACTCCATTGTAAATATTTCCTTTGACATTCATACCAAGTCACTAAAGCCTACTGTTTGGGTCTAACTATCAAACCAGTTCTAAACTATCAGCACACATCTTTCCATCTTGTTCACAAGAAGAGCCCAACAGATTCTATCAAGTGCTTTGCTAAAATCTAAGTAGTCTCCATCTATAGGATTTCTTTAACCTACTAGTTTATTAACTCAAATAATACTGGACAAGCCCAGGATAGAACATGACCTGAGGCATCATGAGGCAAGACCACCTAGGCCAGCACAGCAATGACTTTCAAACTTGACCAATCCACTCTCTCACAACCCTACAAAGAAAAAGAGCTACTCTCACAATGAGGACGGTGATGTTATTTTCCTCTTTTCCAGAAACTGTAAAATTAGAACTCAGACTCTCTCCCTCTAAAGGAGGGGAGAATAGCAAGAATCCACAGGAGGGTAAATCTCTGCTTCCTCCCTAGAGCTCTGTCATAAATTATACCATTCTGGTTGGGTCTTACATATTCAATTCCTGAAAAATACAGGAAAGACTGTTTCAATTATCAATTGGTACTCATTATATTTTCTGGAATAATGTGCTTTCTATTATTCCTAAAATGCATCACTCTCTCACTTATCTTTTTCACAACAGCTTGGTATAGTTGATTTTTTTCAACTTATGTTCTATCACAAACCCTATTTTTTTTCCTGCCTAAATCACATAAAACCAGCTCTTCCCTGTCTTAGACCTGGGCATCTCTTGAACTGTCCTATCCAACTCTTAATCCTAATGAATCTGGTTCTGTTGACTCACAACTTCTCCCAATTGTCCTAATCACTCTGATTCTTGCTCCTGTCCTATAGAAAGATCTACAAACCTTAGTTAGCAGCCAGCCCTCATCATTGTACTTGGTGATAAGGCCATGTAGTTCATTGTGGCTTCAACATTCAATTTAATAATTATTTATTAAGTGCCTCCTATGTGCAAGGCACTGTGCTAGATACTAGAAACATAAAGACAAGAATGAAACAGTCCTTGGTCCCAAGAAGCTTAACTCTACTATGTCTCTACAGGCATAGAAATAAGCTCAATATAAGAAAAATTAAGGAAGAAGACAGAGTACTAACAACTGGGGAATGTGGGAAAGCTCCCTAGAGGAGGTAGCTCATGAATTGAACATTAAAAGTAAATGGGGGACAGCTAGGATAAAGCACAGGCCCTGAAGTCAGGAAGACCTGAGATCAAATCAGACTCAGACACTTATTAGCTTTGTGACCCTGGACAAGCCACTTAACCCCAATTGCCTAAAAAAAAAAAGAAAAAAGTAAATGGGAGTTCTGATTAGTAAAGCTCAGGAGTAAGTTCATTAGGCCAATGAGGATTGACTTAAGATAGTTCACAGAGGTGGGAGACAGGGTATCAGAATGAGTGAATGGCTAGTAGTCCAATTTGATTGGAATATAGTGAATGTCAGGGAGCAGTATGAAGTAAGGGCAAAAAAGGTAGGTAGGAGCTAGGTTGCAGAGGACCTTCAATGCTCAGCTACGGGCATTTTATTCTATAGGCAATGAAGATCCATTGAGTGTTTTTAAGCAGGGGAATAACATGGGCAAACTGTGCCTTAGAAAGATGACTTTAGTCCTTATGTGGTGTATGAATTGGAAAAGGGAGAGAATTGGAAGAATGCAAATTAAGAGTCTGTTACAGTAATCTCTAGGAGAGAGGTGACAAAGGTCTGAACTGGGATGGTCTGCATTTAAAGTAGAGAGAAGGGAATGGATGTATAACATCCAAATGAATTGGAAAGTGATTAGATATGATGGATGAGGAATATACAACAGTCAAAGATAGCTTTAGCATTCGTGACTGAGGCAATGATGGTGCCCTCATTGGAATTAGTGAAGTTTAGAGTAGTGGCAGGTTCAAGGAGATAGATAAAAAGTTTTATTTTTAACAGACTAAGCTTGAAATGACCATCAGCTATCTATCCGGCAGTTGACTAGAGTTGAGGAGAAAAGTTAGGGGTGGACACTTCAATGGATCTTTGGGCTCATCAATGTAGGTACTTCCTCCAAATGGTAGAGACTGCAAAACATTCATCCTGGTTCAGTGCTTACAATTTTAGGTGTTTTTCATAAATACCCAATAGAGGCTATTAACCCGAATTCAGCTCACAACATATCTTTGAGCACTAACAGTCTTCCAAAGTTGGAACTGAATGATACTTTTAATATCATTCTTTTCATACTATTGTTCAACTCATAATACTTATTGAGTACAAAATAGTGAATATCATATATAAAATACCTGTTTTCTGATCTCTATAATATATTGAACACTTAGCACATGTAGTCCTCAGAAATGTGTCACCCAAAATGTCATTCTCTTTAATCCAGTTTCACTCTTTCTTTTGTTTTATTTACTTCTTATAAGGGCTGCCTTTTTTTTTCTTGCTTCTTGTTAATTTCTTTTTTTTTCATTTTTCTTACATTGTTAATAATAAAATATAAAAAGAAATTTTTTTAAATGATTAAGCTTTTAAAATAAGTTACTTTATAAATGTTTATTATCTCTCCTTTCCACTGTTCCCTCATTAATCAAATTTTAAAATTAAAATTCCTTTTAACAAATACATATAGTTCAGACAAAACAAATTCCCTCATCTGTTACGCCCAACAATGTACATCTCATTCTGCATTTTAAATCCATTACCTCTCTGGCAGTAGGTAAGTGGCATTGCATTTTTATTCCTCTGGAAATGTGTTTTATCATTGCATTGACCAGAGTTTTACAGTCTTGCAAAGTTGTTTTTCTCTATAATTATCATGTATAAATTGTTCTCCTAGTTCTGCTCACTCCATTCTGAATCAGTTCATAGAATCTGCCCAGTTCCGTCTGAAATTGTCCATTTTTGTCATTTCTTATGGCACAATATTTCATTATATTGATATACCACAACTTGTTTAACCATTCCCAATTAGAGGACACCCCCTTACCTTCAAGTTTTAGAAGGGCTACTATAAATATGTATGTATATGTATGTACGTATGTATGTATATGCAAAATTTTCCTCTCTTTTTGATTTCTTTGGGATATAGATTTACTTTGTTGTATACCTGAGTTAAATCCACAATTTAGATAACTTTGGGGGTATAGATCCAAATTGCTCTCCAGGATGGCTGGACCAATTCTACCAGCTATAACAAGTTCATTGACAAGCCTGTCTTCTTGCAGCCCCTCCAATATTTATCTTTTTTCTTCTTTTGTCATCTTTGCTAAGCTGACAGGTGTGAGGAAGAACCTCAAATTGCTTTAATTTACATTCCTCTATTTATTAGTGATTTGGAGTATTTTAAAATGAGGCAATTTTTAAAAGCAGTTCATATAAGAAGTAATATTGAACTACTGTAATAGACTCCTAATTTGCCCCCCTATAAGGGGGCAAATACATATATATACATGCATATATATATATATACATACATATATACATAAAAGTACATAAAGAGAGAAGAGAGATATATAAAGATAGAGATAAATAGGTATAGATATAGAAATATTAGATATATGTGTATATAGATATAACTGCCATTTAGTCCTCCAAGTACTACCTGAATACCTGATCATAGTATGAGCACAGGTTTTGATAAATCCTCCTAGGGTAGAAAGACTACAACTGTGGATTTGGTGTTAGAGTATATGTCTGATGTCTGAGAACATTCTAATGAAATTGAAAGAGACCCACCAAGGTAGTAAGGCAAGACAATAAATTTTTCAACTCCAGCAGCTTTCCAAAAAAACCTTCTACTTCATGATAGAAGAGTTTCCATCATTATTAGTATGGATAGTACCCACACTGGTGAAATTATAGATCCTTGAAGTCTTGATGCAAGAATTCAATAGTGAAAGCAAAGGAAGGAACAGCTGGGTAAATGAGCTAGGTTGCATGTTTACTTTCAATGTCTCTGCTTTGAATGACCTGAAAGATAGGGCATTGTAGGAGGGAAAATGTTTAGTGGAACAATAAGATGATTTCTATAGTGCCAAACAACATTAAAAAAAAAAAAAAGATGATCCATAATCTGGGATAAAAAGAAAGAAGTGTTGAGAACAGGTTTTCTTATAAGGAACAGAGTAATTGCAGAAAGAATGAACCTGGCTTGTTTGGGAAACTGAAGTAGATAAGAATTTGGTCTACACACTCTTCAGTCAACTATCTGAGTTATTAATCAGCTTTACACTGCTAACTCCACTTAGTTCCCAATCCAAGGCAAATTCTATATAGGTTATTCACTGGCTAAGGAGTTATGATGGATGAGGATCTGGAGGTTGAAGATATTGCTGTACATGAAAATAAAGGACTCCTTCAGCTAGAAAAGCTTCCTTCATCTCCTATGTCAGCCACCTTTAGATCAATTGGGATCCTATAGCATCACAGCTTCTTGTACTAATACTCTCATCTCTTTTTCCCCAACAGGGAGCATGGGGAACAGCACCACTATCACTGAGATCATTCTTCTGGGACTCACAGATGCCTGCAGATTACAAATGCTGATCTTTGTGGGGCTCCTCCTGACCTACCTTATCACACTGCTAGGGAACCTTCTCATCATTGTCGTCACCCTGATGGATCATCGCCTTCACACCCCCATGTACTACTTCCTCAGAAACTTTGCAGCAAGCATCCTAGAAAGGAGATGGTCTTGTTCCCTGTTAGGATGTTGTCCAGAGTCTTGGG